TGGTGACCCTTTCGATAATTCTGGGGGATTTCTGACAGCCCGGTGACCTGCAGGGGAGGTCAGCAGCGCGAGCCAGCCGGTCTCCCTGCTCCCGGCCTCGCAGCAATGAATCTTATTTGACTATAAAAAGGAAAAAGGGCAGAATCCACCTCCAGCTTAGAAAAAGCCATCACGGGCCCGCCGTCGCCCGCCCCGCAAGCTCAGTCATTTCTCGGGAGGCTTCATCCCGCGAGGCAACTCCCCCCAAACCCACGTGGCCTTTAGGAGAAAAACCGTAGTGGGGTTTTATCGCCCACTTGGCTCCGGCTTTGGGGGGGGGTGGTGGGGGCCCCCCGGTGACCGCCGGGCCGGGAGCGGTGCAGGGGCAGCCCCGGGGCCGGCACCTGGCGCTGGGATGCTGCTGGGCAGGGGGAGGTGAGGGTGCTGGGGTCGGCGCGTTTGCGGTGTCTCGGCGGTGCCGGGGCTGCGGGAGCCGCCGCCGGAGCGGGTGGAACGTGCCGGGACGCGGGACCCGGCGAGGGGCAGAGCGGTGCCGGCGTGGGGCTGGCGGTGAACCGCTGCGCGCGAGACCAACCCTGCCCCAGAAGAGCAGACACCGTCAGCAGCTGCACTGCTGACATCAAAATTGTTCCTTTGATCTGTCATTTTCCACAGGAGGTTCTCCTTTTGGTTCTGCTTTCATTTTCCTTTTTCACTTTTTTTTTTTTTTTTTTTTTTTTTTGTGTGTGTGTGTGTGCATAAAATACCAGTAATGACAAGCTGTGGTGCCCATGAGTGAGTGACAGCTGAAATAAGAGAAATGACTAATCGGGCCTCCTGAAGCCTGGTTGCATGGAGATTAAATGAGCCCTTTTTTCTTCCCCCCCCTCAATGAGAATCATGGGCATTTGAATAATAATATTATAGTCTCCATTAGGATGACAGTGGGGGGAAAAAAATCGGCTCAGACCTGTGATTATTCCTTCAATCTAATAATTATTTAAATACCAGATAACTCCTTTCAGCCTAATTGAGGCCTTTCAGCTGCTTGGGTTTATATTGTGTCCCTGAATTTACTCTCTCTTTCACCTTGCGTTACTAATAGCTTCAGATTGCTTTTAAGGCCATATTTTAAACTCGATTCCAGAAAAAAAAAAAAAGAGGAAAAATTAATGGTCAAATGGTATTAAGGATCAAAGTTAAAATTGACCACTCTCCCGTTTCCCTGGTGTTTAACTCCCCAGCCGTACTCAGCCATCCCCACACTCCTCTCTAGGGCCTGCAGCGGATTTCTGTTGGTGTTTAATACCTGTACCACTGAACACTGCTTAATCCCTGTCCTGCACCCACATGTTCCCCCTGGCCCCGGGGCAGTGGGGACCCGGCAGGAGCTGCTCCCGCGGGGCTGCCAGGGACCCGGGGATGGATCCTCGGCCCTTGGCTCGTTTCGGGTAGGATGTCAGTTCACAGCCATGCTCTGTCATCTTCAGATAATGTTTGAAAGCGCAGATTCTTCATCCTGGATGATCTCTCTTGCCTTTGGCAGTGACTGTTCACAAATACTCTGCAAAACCTTCGCAGTGAGGCACTGCATAGAAGTTGGGCTTCAGCTGACAGCTCTGCTGCACAACAGCTCCAGATTGGCTCTGGCTTTTGTGCTCTCTCTGAATGAAAACATTGCTGGAAATGATATAAACCCACTGTAGTCTAAGTGAGAGCTTCTGTTGTCCCATGCGTATACATGTATATGAAATTTAATTATGTAAATTTATTAATTTCTAGCTTACACTGTTCTTTTCTCACTTTGCAATAGAGGAACTTTTTAAAAATCGAAAAGCCGCTGAGCAGGAAATCTGTTGTGTGCTGAGTTTTACAGCAGCATCTCCCTGTTCTCCGCAGCTTCACTTTCTGGATTTCCTTTGAACCAGAGCCCTCTGCCCCAAAAGCATTTCCTCTTCTCTGGGAATGAGAAGCTGAGGTAGGCTTTATTTTTAGGCTCCTTCCTTGGCCTTGGAGGAAAGCCCGTTTGTGCTGCCCAGGGCAGGGCCTGTTTCTCTGCACCCTTCTGTGCTGCAGCCGCCACCTCCGTGCCCTCCCCAAGGCAAGGGGAGCTGGGGTGCCACGTCGGAGCCCTTGCTGGGGACACCGGGGTGCTCGAGGCTTCTCCAGCGTGGAGCTGGCGATGCTCTGCCGCTGACTTGGCCGCTCCGTGGGACTCCCATACCTGCAGCTATCGTACCAGCTTTTGTGGGCTCCTCTGGAGCCTTTCCACGGAGCGGGGTTCCCTGGGTGCTGACAGGAAGGCACCACGCTGCTGGCTGGCATCTCCCTGCCAGTGACACACGTGGCCTTCTCGGTGGCTCGGGCTGCACGGCCAAGTTATCCGAGAGCAAAGCTGCCCCGAGCCCCCGGCGCCCGTGATCAGGTCGTCGGTGCCCACCGTGGGTCACCAACAGCCCTCGTGTGGGTGGGCAGCACGGAGAGCCTTCCTCTGTGGTGATCCCCAGGAAGCAGCTTGATTTGTTGCCTTTTTGAAAGGTTCTGGGTTCAGAGAGTAGTTTCGGGACGTTCACTCGGAAATTTAATGAGAAGAGCCAGGGAGGTCACCCCGGTGCTGTTGTGGCATGTTCGGGGCCGCAGAGCGGGCAGCTGCTTTCTGCCACAATCATCCAAACAATAATAAGAATGCAGCAGCGCCTGTGTCCTCGCTGGGAGAGAAACTGCTTCAGCCAAAGGTGGAAATTAAGAGACTGGAAATAAGAAGCAAGCAGCTGAGGAAATGTATCCCTGAGCAGAATGAGAAACCCATTACTGCTCTTTCTCCTGTCTTGTCAGTGACACCGAGACGTGCAGCCCAGGGACAGAGCTCCTTTGTCACCTTTCAGAAACACCCGTCTCTGGCTCCCGGCGTTAACAAGCCTAAAGAGCGGCCATTCGGTGACACTCGCTTATGAGCTCAGTGTAGGTTTTCAGCAGCGTGAATTATTTTAAATACCAAAACTGAGATCAGCATCAATCAAAGCGGTGGCTGCCCGCAGGTGAGGACAGCTGAGCGTGGGCTGTGCTGGGGAACAGCTCCCTGCATTTGCACGCAGGCCAGGGGACGGGAGTCGAATCTGCCGAGAGTGCGAGCTTCTCCCCGGTCCGTGTGCTTGGGGCTTGCGTGGCCGTGGCGGGGGGCGATGGGGCTTCGGTACAGAGGAGGGAGGGGGAATGGTGGCTCGTCCTCGGCCTCTTCCCAGGGCTGGTGCGACCCTGTGGTGCTGAGAAGTGGTGGAGAACATCTTCCCAAGGCAGGCTGAAATGGTTCCTCTGATCGTCCAGCCTGGAGCATGTGAGGAATGCGTAATTTGGGATAAAGGAGAACTTTGCAATGATTTTCTGAGTCCAGGCGGCCAGACAGATCTGTGGTGATGTGCAAGGCTGAGGTCAAGCCAGGAGCAAAAGTCACGGTCAGGTCTGGAGGTGATAACAAGGATGAGGCACAATCCAGTGACCTCTGGGCATGTCTGTGGTGACAAAGGAGGTGCAGAGCCCCGATGCTTTCCGGGCCCTTACATGGTGCCTGCCTCGGAGTGCTGTTCTGCTGAGCTGGGTGCTTGGCTGGCATCGCTTCCAGCTGCTCTGTGGGAGCCCGAGGTGGTGCTGGACGTCCAGGGCTGAGGTGGGAACCAAGCCGATACCTCCTGTGTAAGCTGGACCCGCCCTTAGATGAGACAGACATAGAAATGCATGGATTTGGATTGTCTTTATTGTTCATATTTTTGCTAGGACAGCCTGCCGCTTTATCAGAGGCACGAGGTGATGAGGTGGAGCAGGCAGAGAGGTTTATAAAGTTCCTTTTTCAATAACTACCGTGTCTGTCTGCGTGTGTGTGCTGTCCAGAAGGGTGGATGGAGAGCTCTGATGTAAACATGCCTCACGCAGCCGGAGCCTCTCCGAGGCGAGCACCTGCTTCCTAAGGAAATTCCAGCCTGGTGATTCCTAATTCAGCCTGACAGTCACCTACATCGAGGAGGGGGCTGGGGGTCAGCCGGGTTCCAGCCATCCCTTGGGCCCAAAGGAGGTCTAGGTGCTTTGGGAGCACCCACAAAAGCAAAACAAACAACAGACAACAACCAAACCTGCCTTCCATGTCTCGTTTTTGCATAGATTTTGGCCAGAGGTCTCCAGCTTGAGTCTTGCCTTGCCTTGTCAGTCAAAGGAGACTCTACTTCTGCCTGTTACCCAGAGCGCTATCGGGAAGGCCATGCGTGGCATCGGGTCTTCTGGACCCAACATCCAAGCTGTTGCTCTGTGTAGGTTTTAATCAGCACCTGCGAGCTTTGTTAGAGCAGGAATCTTGTCCAAGGCTCCCAGATTGGTAGTTTCTCCCCTGCACAGGGTGCTGCTGGCAGTGTCTGGTTGCCGGTTTAACCATATGTGCACCCCCCAGCAGCTGCTTTTCAGCAGTAAAGGACCTTGTGAAGGTGGGGAGCAGCTTCTGCCTGAAAAGCACCCGCTGCACCTCTGGCTCTGGAGAGGGGTGGATAGGGGAGATGCTGGAGGCTTTAGTGTGTATATGCTCAATGAACTTGCCTGCATGAGACTTCTTCCTCAGGTTTCCAAATTAAATCGTGGAGGACTTAAAGGTAGAAAACACCTCTTATTTCCTCTGTTGCTTCCAACAACATACCCTGCAGGAGACATCCTTTTAGCCAAGATTGTAGATTGATGGTTGGGTGTGGGAGCTGCAGGCTTTGTCTTTGGGCTGAAGCTGATTATCCCCTCCTATGGCTGAGCAGAGGATGTTATAAACAGCTAAACCACATAACAAATTAATACGCAGAGGCTGAACCAAGTGGCAAAACATCAAGCCTGAACTGTTTACCAATAAGTTAGGAGACCCGCTTAATTCTTGTTGGGCTTAGAGACGTCCTCACTTTATCTCAAGGACTGTGTAATTCAGCCTCCTTTGAATTTTATCTGCAGGGCACACTGGATCTAATCCTTTGCTCTCTGTGTTTCTTTTCTTTCCCCAGAACCATGTGAGGGACCTTGCTGGTGCACAGGACACGCGCGGGGAACACAAAAGTTTGCCTTTCCCAGGATGGATCAGAGGAAGAACTGGCCTCGGGTACCGGACTCCGATGGCTGGTCAGTGGCTTTGCTCTGTCTCTTCCTGGCATCGCTCTCCCGAAACGTGTCCAGCAATGCCTTGTTCAGCACTTTCCACTCTGAGAACCGGGAGTGGACGTTCAACCACCTGACTGTCCACCGAGGCACCGGAGCAGTCTATGTTGGAGCTATCAACAGGGTTTACAAGCTTTCGGGTAACCTGACCATTTTGGTGGCTCATAAAACTGGTCCCGAGGAGGACAATAAATCCTGCTACCCACCCCTCATCGTCCAGCCATGCAGCGAAATCCTCACCCTCACCAACAATGTCAACAAGCTGCTGATCATAGACTACTCTGAGAACCGGCTGCTGGCTTGTGGCAGCCTCTACCAGGGGGTCTGCAAGCTGCTGCGCCTGGATGACCTCTTCATCTTGGTAGAGCCCTCGCACAAAAAGGAGCACTACCTGTCCAGCGTCAATAAGACGGGCACGATGTATGGTGTGATCGTGCGCTCGGAAGGTGAGGATGGGAAGCTCTTCATTGGCACGGCGGTGGATGGCAAGCAGGATTATTTCCCCACCCTCTCCAGCCGCAAACTTCCCCGGGATCCAGAGTCATCAGCAATGTTGGATTACGAGCTCCACAGTGACTTTGTCTCATCCCTCATCAAAATCCCCTCGGACACCTTGGCCCTTGTTTCGCACTTTGACATCTTCTACATCTATGGTTTTGCGAGTGGCAACTTCGTCTATTTTTTGACTGTCCAGCCAGAGACCCCAGAGGGTGTCTCCATCAACTCCGCCAGCGATCTCTTTTACACCTCCCGCATCGTCCGTCTCTGCAAGGATGACCCCAAGTTCCACTCCTACGTCTCTCTGCCCTTCGGCTGCGTCAAGGGGGACACGGAGTACCGCCTCCTGCAAGCAGCGTACCTCTCCAAGCCAGGAGATGTGCTGGCCAAGTCCCTCAACATCACAGCCCAGGAGGATGTCCTCTTTGCCATTTTCTCCAAGGGACAGAAGCAGTACCATCAGCCACCCGACGACTCCGCGCTCTGTGTCTTCCCGATTCGCACCGTCAACGCTCAGATCAAGGACCGCCTGCAGTCCTGCTACCAGGGGGAAGGCAACCTGGAGCTCAACTGGCTGCTGGGGAAAGACGTCCAGTGCACCAAAGCGGTAAGGGTGCTCTGGCTGTTGGCTGCCGTAGCCCCTGAGGACCGGTACCAACGCCTGACCCTATGGAACACGAGCTTGCAGAATAGGATCAATCTTTCTGTGCCTCGGTTTCCCTGAACACGGACCAGACATGGTCGTCCCTTTCCCTTTCAATCCATGGTCTGATCAGGTAGTTGGCGATGACAGCAGAAGGAGGGGGTAGCGTTAAGGCAGATGAGTAAAGGTGTGCAGCTTGATGAAGAGTTTGCTGTTGCCAACCTGGGGCTCTGGAAGCCGGAGGAAGGCTCTCACCCTTCCCTGAGCAGGGTGGTGGTATCAGTGAACTAACAAGATAAATACAAATGACAGTTGTGTCTCTTGTATTTTTTTATTTAGCTGATTTCTTTAATCTTGATTCACATGCAGATTGTTCCTGGGCTGACTTGAGAATCCCTGGGGCCTTCTTTTGCCAAGCATATTAAGTTTGGCTGCTGGGAAGAGATAAACGTGGGTTAAATGAAATGAAAGGAGGAAGGCGAGGAGAAGCTTGAGTGCTGGCTTGCACAGGGGAGAGTCATCCCATTGCAGTTGCAACTAGATGTGTCTGAGCATTTGGTAGTTAATGTCCCTTGTGGAAAATAAGTGGATTGCAGTCAGCATGATGGCGAGCAGCCACCCATGTCACCACCCTGCCGCCAGTGCCACGTAGGAATTTGCTCGAGCAGTCTCAGCTGATATGGTGTAACAGTACTTACCTGTCGGCAGAACGATTTTCCTTTACTCGTGGGAAGTGGTGTTCCAGGGAGAAGATGGCATTTCTATCCCCCGTGTTGTAGGAAGGAAACCGAGGCACAGCAAGGTGGCTCGCAGGAGGGTGGTGGAAGGAGCAAGAGTGCATCTTCCTGCTTAGCACTTTGATGTTTTATGTTGCCAGAGCCTGTTCCCTGTGCGATCACCCACCTTTCCAGGCAGACAGCCTGGCGCTTTCCACCAGCCCCCATGTTCCTGTGGGGAAGGTTTAACTCTGCCCCGGAGCTGGGCTGTTTGTGCTGGAGGGAGGTGGCTGCTCCCCACAGGAATGGGCAGGAGCATCCTCTCCCCTCTCGCTGCGTGGGATCAGCCGTGCCCGGCTGGTGCCTGACCCCAGCCTGTCCCCCTCCGTGCACAGCAGTGCCGGCACCTCTGCGAGCCGGCAGCCGCAGGGCTTGTGTGGCCTTCAAGGGTCCCTGGGCCAGGGGGGTGGCGTGTGGGTGGCCCCCACCCCGCTGTCAGCACCGCCGGCTCCCTCTGTGTGAGCCCAAGGGTGGGAGGGCTGCCCCGTGCTCTGCGTTTCACTCACGGCTGCCCCAAACCTCGTCTTTCCAGCCAGTGCCCATCGATGACAATTTCTGCGGGCTGGACATCAACCAGCCCCTGGGAGGCTCGACACCGGTGGACGGGGTGACGCTCTTCACCTCGAGCCGGGACCGGATGACTTCTGTTGCTTCCTACGTCTACAACGGCTACAGCGTGGTGTTCGTGGGGACCAAGACTGGCAAGCTGAAGAAGGTAAGCTCATTGCCTTGGCTTCGGAGAGCCAGGATCCATTTTTCATCTCTCTTGGGAGACTGATGCACGTAGCTGCTGCTGTGTCTTACGGATGTTTCCCAGCCTGAAACGGGGAGTCAGTCAGGAGCAAAACCCACAGGATTTGGGTCACAGAGAGCCTTGCACTGGGGAGGGAAAGCTCATCTATCAGCACTGTTAGTACAGCGTGGTGTTGCTCTGGTTTCTTTTGAAGCAGAGAAGTGCCGAGCCCTGGGAAAGGTGCAGCGTGGTCGTGGACAAGGGACCTCAGGAGGCCCCACCATTCCCATTGCTCTGCGGCGTTACAGCTCCAGAGCATCCCCTTGCCTGGGCTGGGGGCACCATCCTGCGCTTCCAGCCAGTGACTTTCTTCAGCAGCAGCACAACAGAGGGCTCAGCACCGTGCCAGCTCTGCCTGCCTGTGTATTACAGCATTACCCTGCTGCTTGTCCTTGTTTTTTGTGTTTTATCATTCAGTGAATCGTTGTGTGTGTGCTTGTGGGGCTGATGCAGAAATTACCAAGGCAATAATGGGCCAGTCTGAATAGAGAGATGTGAGGAGCTGGCTTGTAATTTCTAAGTACAAGTGAACCTCAGCAAGCTGTATCCAAGGCCTCAGGTCTCTCCTCCTTTTTGACACACAGATGGAAATCTTGCAGTAGTTTTGAGTTGCTTCCCAGCAGTCCTCCTGCAACTTCTGTAAAAGGCAGCGAGTTAGAAAGCTTTTGGTGATGGCAAAGTTGCTGATGGTGGCAGGATGTTTGGTCATGGAGAGATAAGAATGGGTTAACTTGGCTGCTTTTGGAAACCAAGCCTCAGGGCTAAGTCCTACTGCTTCTCTCTGCCTCTTACCTCCTGCTCATCCCCTGACAGTTGGGTGATTGATCAGTCCTGGAAGATAACATTCCTCACCTCTGCATCACAAACGCTGGGGCTAGTTGCCCAGGGCAAAGAGGTGCTCCCGCTGGTTTCCTCCCCCAGTGCGGGGAGGTGGGGCAGCCTCTGGTGAGTTTTTAGGATTTTGAAGTCCAACTGGGGTTTCCTCTGCTCTGAATCCTGTAAACTTCCCTTCAGTAAGGGGGGTGCAAAGGCTGGTCAGCCCCGGTCATACATCTGTTGTGTGGTCCTCACTGGTCCTCTCTCAGGAGTTCCATATTTAAAGCGAGTGTGGAAATGGCCTTGGGGTGTGTAAGGAGATGAGATCCTGTACCCCCCCCACACACACCCCTGCCTGTTGGTCTTTAGAGCTGGAGCTGCAGCTGGAAGCCAGCTCATCACTGGGCGCAGAAGTCTGATCCAGCTCCAGCAAAACCAGCCTTAGAGATGCTGCTCTGGAAAGCTGAAATCCTTCAGACTAACCTAAAACATAAATGACAGCATTAGGTGAGCCGGCTAAGCGCAGACCCTGCTGCTTTGTACCAGGGAAAGAGTTAACAAATGTAAATCAACAGCAGGCTGTTAATTTTTTGTGTCCTTAAGCAGCAGGGAATTTCTTCCTCATCTATCCAGGAGGATACAAGGACAGGCAGATACTACACTTGAATGTCTGCATCATTTTAATTACATCAGTTCATTAATATTCATTCAGCACTTTACAAGTGCTGAGTAGTAGTAAATTAGGTGCCTCCCTGGTGCCTCTCCAGTGTCAGTGGGGCAATTTTGAACGTGGGGGGGAGTGGGCTTGTAAGCAGAGCCCCTCTCCTCTCTGGCCGCCCCTCTGCCGTGGCACACGGGGATTTTTCTGGCTAAATGGATGGAAGAGATGCTGGGCTGTGGCGACTGTGGGTGCTGTCAGCTCCTGGCCAGGCCAGCAGCCTGGCACTTGCTGTTGGTAGTGTTTTGGGGCTGGATGGGGAGGTACCTCATTTGGAGGCAGTTAAAGCAAACAGCTTGTGCCTGCACATTAGGTGTTTACTGTCCTGTCTCATGAATTATGTAGGATTACTGAAGCAGCAGTCTCACTTCAGCAAGGTTTAAGTCCTTGTGCTGTTCTACACTGAACACCTTACCTTTTTGATGCAAAGTTAATCTATTCACACCCATCCACTTCAGCTGTCCAGAGGGGGAGGGCTGCAGGAATCCTTCACCGCTTGTTTGAGCCAGTGGTAACCAGGCACTAAGAAAACTGGTTCATCTCTTGAGCAAATTCATTCCAGGCGTTCACTCCAGTCAGCCTTTCATGGCATCTGCCAGGCACCCTTATTTAACATCTATCAGAGTTGTCAGCAGCTGATGGGACCCGTGCCTCCCGTTATCATTAGCTGGAGCCATCACTGTCCCATCCATCCTCCACAGCGTGGGGCTGAGGATGTTGTTCTCTATCTCGCGGTCCTTTCCACACCTTTAGTAAATCTTTCCTCATTTGACATGTGGGATTATCATTTACGCGGCCTAGGAGAGGCCACGTGAAGCGTAGGAAGCAGCTTTGCGTTGAGTTGTGGGGCTCTTGGGAGTCTCACTGCAGAGGAGGCATTGCAGACCTGGTGGGAAGTTAACAGGTTGTCTCCAGTTTTTGTGCGTGTTCCAAGACCAGACATGTCTCCAAGTCAGCAAGTGCTCAGGATGCTCAGGACTGTAAACGTTTCCATATCTCTTCTTCCCCATATGCGAAATGAGGATGGTAAAAATGTACGCACCTCTGTAAGTGCCAGAGATTTATAGATAGACGCCTTATCTCCTCCAGCTCACCACCTTGCATGTCTACCTACACAATTAATGTCTGAAAGCTACGTCACGCCTATTCCCTCTCACAGCCGTTTGATTTACTTTGGAAACAAGCTGGTGGCTCAGTCTGGAGTTTCAAAGACGACACTTTTGTGTAGCTGGAAGAAAGAAGTCAAGGAGCCAGCTCTGAAATCTTTCAAATTTGTCTGTGCTTCCCCCCAGTGAGAATTCATTACTGAAAATGCTGCATTATCTCACTGATGTCCTTTTTCCCATTAGCTATTCACCTAAGTGCCTCGTGCGATGTTCCCTGGGAGAGCGGCGGCTGCTGCTTCAGTCTCTCTCCTCCGAAGGAGCTGCCTGCCAAAAGTCCCCACGCCCCTGCCTGCGCCCTTCGCTTCAGCCCGGTGCTGCCCAGCTCTGCCCCGTTCCCTGTTTCCCGGCACATTTGAAGTCCCTTTCGGCCGCCGGCGCTGGCTGACACGTGAAGGAGGGAGGGAAGGGGTTCTGTGGGAGCACTGGGGCACGGCTGGCAGCTTTCCCAGGCTGAGCTGGGCTCTGCCTGTGCGGGTTTCGGAGCCCCGGCAGGGTCCGGCCGACGTGGGCAGCCGGGGCAGGTCACCGCGGGGTCTGCACAGCCCGGCTCTGATTTCGACGTAGCTGTGCTGCACCGGAGGGGTGTTGGTACTGCTGCTGACAAATAAGTCAAAAATATCGATGAGTCAGTCGACAATGAAGTTGGCATCTTTCCTGCAAGGAACCAGAGCGTTTGTTGGGGTCGGGGTTTGAGTTGTGTGCTTCTGCCTGCCGTGGCTGCCCCGGGCTGGTCAGCTGCTCCTCGTGCAGCTGGTGATACTGGTTTGTGCTTCATCCGGCCTCGGTAACCACTGAAGGGAGAAGGATGAATCGATGGATCTGTTCTCCATTAAAACCTGGTGCTGGAGGAGGAGTTTTCTTGCATAGCACCCTTTGGGCCAGCCCGGTGCCTCTCAGGGTGAGCTGCCTGCCCGTGGGGCATGCCTTGGGGTGGGGGGACCTGGCAGTGTGCTGAGGCATGCCCTGTACGAAATGGCAGCACCCCCCGCAATGCCCCCGGCAGCCCGCAGGTTTGGAGAACGACTCAGGAGTCTTCTCTAAGTGGGTGAAAAGCAAAGGTGCTGGTGACGCTGTGACCTGTCGGATGAAGCCCAGGTACGTGGGCTGCAGTTCTCCCTGCAGCTTGGTGGTCCAGCTCTCCTGCCAAAGCGTCTCAGCGTCGTGGCTGGGGGAGCAAGGGGGGAAGGGGGGTCACGTTAGAGACGTAGTCATTCAGAACGGTGGATTCTTGCAATAAAACAATTTTCATCGAGCAATATTAGAAGAGACATTAATGCAACAGTTAACATCAACTAACTGCTGGGGGGAGATGTGTCGGCTTGCTTGTTCTGTTTACGGGCTTCATACAATTCCATCAATATTGATGTGTGATGCCTTTGATTTTGACACTAATCATTGCTATGAATTAAATTTGCAGCCATATAATTAGGACTGCTATTAATAGGGCCTCAAGCTAAGCACTGCTGTGCTAGTTGTCTTTTTCCTGATGGAAAACGGCATTCACGGAACTCAGCTAATGTGTTTTGCCTGGTAGATGCTGAGACTGATGTGAAAATTATACTTGCTATATTTAGAGGGGCTCCTCTGAAAGGCAGATGCATGGGAAGGGTCTGACTCGGAGGCTTCCCTAGAACTGTACCAGAATTGCCCTTAAACTTCCTAGTAGTTTGCTGCTATATAGACCTAGTGGAAGAGAGAAGGATTGCAGGAGGAAAAGAGCAGCCCTCAGTTTGAAGGGCTGTTATTGCAAGCCTTGTTTCCATTTCATCTCCCCTTCCTCGTGCAAATCTTTCCATTTATTTCTCCTACCCAATGCTGTTTCAACTCTCTCTGTCCCTGTGCATGCCTGGTTTCATCTCATCAGGCTGAGCACAGTGACTGGGATAGCAGCATGGCTCAACACTAAAAATCAATCTTGTATTTCATCCCAAGAGGTCTGTTTCTTATTAGATCTAATAAATCAGTGAAGTGCCCTTCATTCAGCTTGTCAATGGAGGACATTGTTTGTGATCAAGAATAAATAAATGTCTCTTCTGTGTCTGACAGTGCACTGTCTGTGTATTACTTTACCATCGTGCTGTTCATGCCTGCTGTAGGAAAGATGCAGTTCCTGCAGTCGAGCCTGCAGCCTCGCCATCCCTCGCCTGCGTGCTGGTGGGCTGGATGTGCTCCTGCATGGCACCTGCAACGGCTCCCAGGGAACAGCAGGAACCCTGATGTTG